ACTTGTGTCCCTAACAGTCAATTTGCTACATAGCAATCAGCTTTTACCTTTTGATTTTAAGTAGGATCATACCATTCCTCTGTTCAAAATCTTCAAAGGTTTCCTTTCATTCAGAGTAAAAATTAAAATTCTTACCATGGGCTATAAATGTCCTATACAACCTGTGATGAATACTCCATCCAGATTACTTCTGCCCTATGCCCTCTACCCTACACTCCCCCTCTTATTCATATACCACCACTCCAGTGACTACTACATGAGCACCAGAGTGAGTCTTTGCATTTGTTTTCACCTGCTCTTCCCCTCGCCCCTATCACATGGCTCACTCACTCAGCTCTTTCAGATCTCTGCTCCAATGCCACTTTTCAGTGAAATCTTCACTAATCACTCTTTCCAAAGCTACAATACCCTCATTCCTCTTTTCTACTTCCTCCCCCCACAATATATGTATTTCACTTATTGTTTATCTCTTTCTACAAGAATGCAAACTTGCCCTGGCTGGTTTGGGTCAGAGGGTAGGGCATCGACCCACGGACCAGAGAGCCCTGGGTTCAATTCCCGCTAAGAGCACGTACCTCAACTGATGATTTTTCCCCCGCCCCGGTTGGGGTTGTATGGGTGGCAACCAGTCTATGTGTCTCTCTAACATCCATGTTTCTCTCTCTCTCTTCCTCCCTCTCTCCCTCCTGCTCTATCTAAAGATAAATGCAAAAATGTCCTCAGGTGAGAATAAAATAAAAACAAAAAGAAACAAAAAAAGAATGCACACTACACAAACGCAGGATTTTTTGTTTTTGCAGTTTGGTTCACCACTGAATCTCCAATGCCTAGTACAGGATCTGTCCTATGCTATGTGCTCTATAAATACTTACAAAATGAATGAGGAAATGTCTACCTATCCAAATACTGAACAGATTATAAGGTAGGACCAATGCTTTTTCATTTCTGTCTGGTCCATGGGCCAATGCTCTAACCACTGAACAAACTGGCCAGGGCTCTTTTTCATTTCTGTATACTCTTCCATTCGAAGAGTATTTGGAACCCAATTCATGCTAAATACATGTTAAATTAAACATTACCTGTGTCCTAGCATAGAAAAGTAGTATATAAAAAATATTTTACTTTCTGCATGGCTGGTTGTTAAGTGTGCAGTAGTAGAAATCAGTGATGAAAAACTGTCTCATATTGGCTTCCATATTAACTGAAAAAGTTTTTTGTTGTTGTTCTTGATTCATTTAAAGCAAATGGCTGGGCCAAACACCATAATTTAGATAGGTTTCTTTTTCACTATAAAGTGAAATAATGTGAGAAATTAATTATACCTAGCAGCGGAAGAAACAGCAAACTATACAGTTTATGGTCTTACAGATACAAAAGTAATAATTTCACAATGAGGCAGGTCTATTCTAGGGACATTTCCCCAAATTCTATTCTTTTCTTTTAATGTATTTAAAAAAAAAGTTTTCATTGAAATTTTTTTTAGAGAAAGAGGAAGGGAGAGATAGAAACATCGATGTGAGAGACAGACATCAATTGGCTGCCTCCTGCACACCCTCCACTGGAGATCCCACCCACAACCTAAGCATGTGCCCTGACCAGGAATCGAACCAGGACCTCTCAGTCCATGGGACAGTGCTCAATCCACTGAGCCACAATGGCCGGACCCCAAATTCTACTCTTGTCAACAGTCGTAAATTTAGTACTGCTCACTGCACAGGAGAGTGAAAGACTACCTAATTAGTGCCAGTGCTGCCAGGTCTCATCAAACACAAGTTTTGCTGAATGGACAGTTTGCTGCCCCAGAGCGGCCCCAATCACTGCCCCAGGGCAATGGACCTCTGTAAAGTTTGTTACTGCCAAAATCTTGAAAAATATATGCATATTGAACATTTATTGTTAGACCCATTATAATTACATTATAACCATAAAGATGATGTGATTGAGAAACAATTTCAAAGTATGACTGGACTCAGAGTAGCTCTGTCATGTTCTCAATCATGGACATTAGAACATGCAACTTCTATGACATGGAAGAAACTATAAAATTAATTGATGTTAAAAATGGAATCCTTGTATTCCAAAGATTAGGAACAAGTTCCCTGGAGCTTCAAAGGTATCATTTTACATATGGTCTTTCTCTTCCAGAGATGACATTACTTAATTGATAATAAAGGCATTTTCCCCCACACTGGTACTCACTCCTAATTGGCAGTATAAAAGAGAAATAACGTGAGTTTGAGTTGTGACTGTTCTACTAGCTAGCATTTAAACCATGAACAAGACATTGTACTTGTGTAAGCTTCAATTTCTTCACTTAAAAAATGAGGATGAGGCCTGCCGGTATTGCTCAGTGGTTGAGTGTCGATCCATGCACCAAGAGGTCACCTGTTCAATTTCTGGTCAGGGCACATGCTCATGTTGTGGCCCAAATCCCCAGTTGGAGGTGTCAATTAATGTTCTCTATTTTTTTTTAGTCCTCACCCGAGGACATTTTTTGATATTTTGTTCAGATAGAGTGGGAGGGGGAGAGAGAGAGAAACATCGACGTGAAAGGGACACATCGAGTGGCTGCCACCCACACGACCCAACCAGGGCCGGGGACAAACTGCAACCGAGGTACATGCCCTTAGCGGGAACCGAACCCAGGTCTCTCCGGACTGCAGCCCGATGCTCCAACCGCTGAGCCAAACTGGCCAGGGCAATTAATGTTCTCTCATATTAATGTTTCTCTCTCTCTCTCCCTCTCTCTAAAATCAATAAAGAAAATAAATAAATAAAATAAAACAAAACGAAGATGAACCCATCTCCACCTAAGCTCTTCATTAAGAGCTTATCCACCCTGATTTTATCTTGTGCACACGATAAAATCAGGATGGATAATACATTATAAAGTATAATATAAATATTATTATTTATTAGAATGGATGGAGTTGACATGTGGCTAAAATGATAAAATTCAGACTTGAGCATCAAGGGACCTAAATGACAAGCTAAAGAGTTTTTATTTATTTATTTAAAATATGTTTTTATTGATTTCAGAGATAGAGGGAGGGAGAGGGAGAGAGAGAGAAACATCAATGAGAGAGAAACACATCCACTGGCTGCCTCCTACAGGCCCCCTACTTGGGATCGAGCCCACAATCCGGGCATGTGCTCTGATGGGGAACCGAACTGGCAACCTCTTGGTGCGTGGGCCTCAACCAACTGAGCCACAGTGGTCCAGGGCAAGAGTTTTTAGACTTGACAGGAAATAATGAATCATTAGAGGTTTTTACTGAGGAAGGTAGGGATGGTGGTTCTGTGTGAATGTTTAAAAACCAATAAAGTAATTGCAACTTCAAAGAAATTTAATGGCACTGTAAAGGGATGGATAGGGGTGAGAAGAACTAGGACTACAGCACTGACAGTATGGTAAGAGCGGAGTGACTACAAAAGGACCTGAAAACTGCATCTAAGAGTGTGGGAAAAGGAAGAATTTCAACACGAGCAGTTAGGTAGATAGTAACCCAAGAAAAAAAAAATTCTTATTTTGTAACTGGAAAAGACTGAGTTTAGATGTGTTAAATTTGAGATGTTTGGACTTATTCAAGTAGGGATGTACAAGAAGGTAGTGAAATTAAACTTCAGAAAGAAGAGGTTGTACATAGAGCTGTAGACCTGGGAGTCAGCTGCTTAAGATGGTTAAACAAGTCAGAGAAGAGTAGGGGAGAGCTGAATAAAAAACTTGGAGAACTCCAAAATCAGAAGGGTGGGCAGAAGTACAACCACAGAAAAAGAATAAAAAGAATAGGAGATAAGATGATAGGGGGAATTTATTACAAATGCCCATATAGTAAAGATGAAATTCAAAAGATGCTTAAGTTTGATCTCTGATTTAGAAATAAATACTAAGGACTAGAGGACACTTTTGACTTAGTTTCATGTTTACAGAAACCAGCATTTTCCTGATGAAAATGTGTGAGCTCTCACAATAAGCCTCTAGTATCTCCCTAGTCAAAAACTTCCAAGTTAGTTAGCTGCATTCTTCCTTCATATACTTGAGACCCTGTTGCCTTTAAGCATTAACAGTCAGAGTGATGCTGATAAGCCAAAAGGCAACAAGAGAAAGTGAAGATCATTTTCTGGAGACAAGAAAGACATTTGCTTTGGTTTTTTTTTATAGTCTAATTCTATTAGAGTATGGTATATATAGTCTATTTAAAGTGGCAATGAGATATGATTTTCCCTTTAAAAATAGCATATCTTAGCACCCATGTTGAATTTTAGGTATTTGGGAAATTTCATCATCCAAAACACCTCATTAACCTAGTAACACTAGACAGAGTTGGCATTAAGTCTTATCATTCTGCCACTAAGAGTAATTTATTTACCCTTACAAAGACAGAAATCTGAAGTCATGTTAGAGTCTCCCTTTCTCTAACCATTTACGATTAACCATTCACCTCGGTTAAACAGCTCTCAAATATGTCAAAGTATTAAGCCATTAACTAAACTGATAGTGCCTCAAATTATAATGATCAGATTTGGGGTTCATGTCTAGATGTTTAACATCTTGTAATATATTCTGCTCTTGCAGTACTCAAAGCTACAAAGACAGCATGTCAATGCAAAAATCAAAGAAGTGCTCCTTTGAACAAAGCACTTGCCTCTTTACAATGTCATTCTATCATCTTATCTAGGAACAAGTACCTAGTTATTCGAGAATGCTAAATTCTCCTACAATCCATGGAACTGAGTCAGATTTTCATGCCCGTTTTTACTAACATCAATGGATAAGAAAGTCTTAAGTTCTTGGAAGTACAAAAGCAGCAAAGCCCTAATCTCAATAATGTACAATGTTTATAAGGTCCTGATTCTATTACAGTAAGATAAAGGAAGAACTCTATTTACATAATTATAATAAATTCCTTTTACAAAGTTTTTCTTAGTAAAAAATCACTAGTTAGCATTTTGCTATAATAAAAAAATACAATGAAATTTTTAAAAAGCAAGGCAGTTACCTGAGGAGAGTCAAAAGGATATCGACTACTAAACTTAAATAGAAGTTGAAATTTTTCCCCTTCATATAAGGTACCTGGTGCACCTTCCATGTCTACAATCCACCTAGAATAGAGAAAAACAAATTAGAAACTTCAGATAAAAGCAACTGGGGTGAGAAGGAGAAAAGGGAACACTAAGAGCTTCCTCTATGCCAGGTACTGGGATAGGAGTCATTTGAATGTAATAGCACACTTCATTCCCCCAATAATTATAAAAGTAGGCATTCACACTCCTGGACCTATTACCTTCTCTGCCATTTGAGGGTTAAATAACTAGATCTAGATCAGACAGCTAGCAAAGGACAGAGCCAAATTTTATCTCAGGTCTAAAAACAAACAAACAATAAATAATGAATGAATACATGTAAAACAAAATAAAAACTCAACAAGGATGATAATAGCACAAGTCCATGCTCTTCCTACTCAATTTATACTATCTTAATTTTTCAAGACTATTTCTACAATGACTAAAACAATTTTATAAATAATACCAAACTAATCACTGTCATTCTAGTATCAATTATTTTAGAAGTATGGGAGAAGTGGCAATGACTACAGAGAACTGCAGTTGTCAGACCGACTTTCTCATCAGTTTCGAAAGACTAAACAGGAAAAAGAAGCTAAGTTGACATTGGTCTACTTACTCTGATAGGTATTCAAAGTTCTATATGGCCTTTCCTTTGTCTCTCAATTGTTTAATAAGGCCCAGAATAGATTTCTATGATATCTATGCAAGCTTACTTTGTTTCCATATATTAAAACCATAAATATAAAATAAAGATATAGCCCTGGCTGGTTTTGCTCAGTGGTTACAGCGTCGGCCTGCGGTCCAGAGAGACCTGGGTTCGGTTCCTGCTAAGGGCATGTACCTTGGTTGCAGTTTGTCCCAGGCCCTGGTTGGGTCGTGCAGGTGGCAGCCACTCGAAGTGTCCCTTTCATGTCGATGTTTCTTTCTCTCTCTCTCCCTCCCACTATATCTGAACAAAAAATGGAAAAACATCCTCGGGTGAGGATAAAAAAATTTAAAAATAAAATAAAGGTATAATTAGGAACTCATTCTTATGACTTTGGTCTACTTTGCTTCTTAATACTGCCCCATCATCTTCGCCATCAAAATCTCCTTTTCTCTATCTCCCCCTTCCCCATTTTTTAAAAAGAAAAGAACAAGAGGTAGTGTACAGAATATACTTATATCTCTGCCACTTACAGTAATTATTGTACACCTTGCCAATTCCTTTAATATTATGCTTTTCAGATATAAAATTTTATTATTTTAAATACAGGGAAAGAAAAGGAAGTAAGCTTGAGAAGTTTTGGGATTCTATTTATCACCCCTATTCTCTCAGAGCAACCAACAAACACAAACAGACTCTTAAGAGCATGGCTAGTCATGTTCAGAATGCATGCTGAATACCATACATAATAAAAAAGATGACAACAGACCCAAGAGGCAATATTTTACAAAGAAATTAGATAGATCTGCCCCTTAACTAGCCGTGTGGCCGTGAGTAAGATGTTTTACCTCTCCAATTTTAATTATTTCAATTGTAAAACAGATACTTAAAAAAAAAGATAAGCACTTCAAAGTGTTGTTGGAAAGATACATAACATTACATATGTACAAAAAACCTAGCACAATCCTGGCATCAGAGCCAGAACACAGTAAAATCCCCTTTTACCCCTCTCCCCCAACTCCACCCAACTTGGATACCCACTGCAGAGCAATATTCTGAGGAAAACTCAGAACTTCCTGATGCTTTTTCATTCTGTTTATACAGTAACTTTTAGGACACACAATCAATGTACCATACATTTATATGCAATCTACCCAAACACAGTTTTTGTTTTGATCGATCCTTACCTGAGGATCATTTTTCCATTGATTTTTTTTTTTAGAGTGAAAGGGAGGGAGGAAAGGGAAGGAAGGGGGAGAGGGGAAAGAGGAAAAAGCATCTACGTGAGAGAGACATCCATTGGTTGCCTCGCGCACATGTCTTCAGGATCAAACCTGCAACCTAGGTACGTGCCCTAGATTGGGAATCTAACCCATGACCCTTCAGTGAACTGGCCAACAGTCTAACCACTGAGCAACACTGGCCAGGGCAGCACAACTTTAAAAGAAAAAAAAAAATCCTCACCCGAAGATGTTTTTAATGATTTTTTTTTTTGACCGAGGGAGGGAGGGGGAGAAGGAGGGGGAAGAGAGAGAAACACTGATGGGTTGTGGTTGTATCCCTTACATACCCTGACTGGAGATTAAATCAAAACCCAGGTATTTGCCCTGGCCAGGAATCAATTGAACCTGCAACCTTTTGGTGTATGAGATGATGTTTCAACCAAATGAAACACCCAGGCAGGGCTACAGCTTTTAAATAGCTAAGCAAATACCTCAGTAATTCCTCTAATAGGTATGCGAGAGACAGGTTAAAAAAAAAAAAAGCATAATTTTCAATTGCATAGTATAATTTAAAATAACATTTTACTAAGTAAAATATGTTCACTGTAGAAAATTTAGGAAATGTATAAATAAAACAAAAATCACCCACAGATAACTACTGTTAAAGTTTTTTGGGTACATTTCATTCTAGTCATTTTGCACTGCAGTTTCTATTATTTATGGCATTGAAGGCTAGTAGAGCTGTATTATGTGCACATTAATTTTTTTTAAATATGTTTTTATTGACTTTTTATAGAGAGAGGAAGGGAAAGATAGATGGAAACATCGATGTGAGAGAGAAACATCAACCTACTGCCTCCTGCATGCCCTCTACCGGGGATTGAGCCCACAACCTGGACATATGCCCTGACTGGGAATCGAATCAGAACCTCAGTCCATGGGACTACGCTCAGTCCACTGACCCATGTACTAAGAGGTCACCAGTTCGATTCCCAATCAGGGCACATGCCCAGGCTGTGGGCCAAACCCCCAGTGGGTGGCATACAGGAGGCAGCTAATCAATGTTCCCTCTCAGCAATGTTTCTCTCTCCCTCTTCCTTCCTCTCGCTAAAAATAAAGAAAAAATAAATAAATAAATTACATAAATTCAAATCAGCAGTGTTTATGATTCCAATCACCAGCACACGCCCCAGAGTAAGGATGAAATGGGAGGTTTCAGTTAACTTTTTGTGAGTAGCTACAGCTCTATGATTCTAATGTTTAAATAGGCATTCATGGCTCCAAATCAAAAGAAACAGCCATTTCTATTACTCTGAGGGAAAAACTAGCTTAGTTGGGTATATTAAGACAGGATAAATACCAACATGGCCTGAGGGATTTTCAAAAATATTTATGACTCTACAAAATTTGTGCCTTACATGCTAACTATAGATGAAAACTAAAAAAAATGTCATTTTATCATACTACCTTAAGAATCCATTTCCCTATTATTAACATTTAAATTGCTTCCAAACTGTCCTTAGAAATAATGCTGAAATGAGTACACAGTTGGCCCTGGAACAACATGGGTTTGAACTGCGCAGGTCCATTTATACATGAATATTTTTTCAATAAATATGTACAGTACTGTATATGTATGTTCTTTCCCTTGTGATTTCAATAATATTTTCCTTTCTCTAGCTTACTTTAGTGGAAGAATACAGTATATAATACATATAACATACAAAATATGTGCTAATCTATTATTTATGTTATTAGTAAGTCTTCTGGTCAACAGGCTATCAGAAGTTAAGTTTTTGGTGGGTCATAAGTTATATGTGGATTTCTGACTACATGGGTGTTGGTGCTCCTAATTCCTGCATTGTTCAAGGTTCAACTGTGGTTCATTCTAAAGTCAACCTTTTCTTCCTTAAGACAGCATAGAGGTTATTAGGTCAAAGGATATGATACTCATGTTTTTAAAGGTCTTACTATCTGCCACCATGTCTTCTGGAAAGCTTAATGTGCTTTCATCATCTTTCTTATCCATATCCATATGCCATATAATTCCACTTAACTGATATTTATAAGATGATATTTATAAGACTATTTTTATATCCAAGATGATGTACCAAAGATAATAACTTTTGTGATTCATTTACAATATGTTATTTTAAAAGAAAAATTACTGCTGTTTTCAAAAGAAAATGTCAACAAAATGGACCAATCAAATGGGAAAAGATATTTGCAAACAATACCTCCAACAAGGGGTTAATATTCAAAAGATATAAAGAACCCATAACACCTCAACAAGAGAACAAACAATCCAATTAAAAAATAGGCAGAGGACACTTTCCCCAAGATGTGCAGATGACCAACAGATATATGGAAAGATGTTCAACTTCACTAGCTATAAGAGAAATGCAAATCAAAACCACAATGATATACCATCTCACACCTGTCAGAATGGCTAGTATCTGTAAGACAAAAAATAACAACTGTTGGAGAGTATGTGGAGGAAAAAGAACTGGCCCAGCTCGTGTGGCTCAGGGGTTGAGCACAGACCCAGGGATCAAGAGGCAGCCAGCTAGATTCCTGGTCAGGGCAAAGGCCTGGGTTGTGGGCTTCATCCCTAGCAGGGGGCATTCAGGAGGTGGCCAATCAATGTTTCTCTCGTCGATGTTTTTTCTCCCCCCCCTTCCTCTCTCTCTCTAAAAATCAATGAAAACATACTTTTTATAATACTTGCTGCATCAATAAAAACATTTAAAAATAAATAAATAAAAGGAATTTCCATTTCTCTATTAAAAAAAGAAAAAGGAACTGTCATACACTGCTGGTGGGAATGTAAACTGGAGTAGCCTCTATGGAAAACAGTATGGCAGTTCCTCAAAAAATTAAGACTAGAGCTACCATATGACCCAGCAATTCCTCTTCTGGATATCTACCCATAATATCTGTAAAGATATATGCACCCCTATGTCCACTGCAGCATTATTCACAGTGGCCAAGACATGAAAACAACCTATGTCCTTTGACTAATGATTAGATAAAGGAGATGTTACATGTACATACAATGAACTACTATCCAGCTACAAAAAAAGATGAAATATTGCTATTTGAGATAACACAGATGGATCTTGAGAGCATCATGCTAAGTAAAATAAGTCAGATGGAAAAGGACAAGGATAATCATTTCACTCATATGTGGGCTATAAAACAAAAATCAACAAAAGAACAAAATAAACTCATCGATACAGACGTGAGCTACCAAATGGGAAGAGGGAGGAGGAAGAGGGTAAAGGGGGTCAAATATTTGGTGATGGAGAGAGACTAGATTTTGGGTGGTAAGTACACAATGAAACATACAGATGCTGTATTATAAAGTTGTACAACTGAAAAGCATGTTATTAAGCAATGTTACCCCAATAAAACTAATTTTTTAAAAAGAGTATTGCTGTTTTGAGAGTCATACTTGTAGTACACTATCATTTGTGAAAATGTGAAACATTTTTTTAACTTTTTATAAATCATTGTGTTGTGTAGTTCCCCTCTACCTCCCAAAAAAGTTGAAAGAGAAAGCAATAGACTAAAACCAATTTCCTGCCCAGCTGGTGTGGCTTAGTGGTTGAGCCTCAACCCATGCATCAAGATCGCCATTTTGATTCCCGGACATGGCACGTGCCCAGATTGTGGGCCAGAACCCCAGTGGGGGCATGCAGGAGGCGGCCAATCAATGGTCTCTCTTATTGATTTTTTTTTCTCTCTCCCCCTCTCCCTTCCTCTCTCTCTAAAAGCAATAAAGAAAAACAAACAACAAAAACCCAGCCCTGGCCGTTTTTGCTCAGTGGTTAGAGCGTCAGCCTGAGGACAGTCATGGGTTCAATTTCGGTCAAGAGCATGTGCCTTGGTTGCAGTTCGTCCTCAGCTCTGGTGGGGGTCATGCGGGAGGCAACCAATCAACCGATGTCTCCCTCTCACATCGATGTTTCTCTCTCTCTCCCTCCCACTCTGTCTGAAAATAAATGGAAAAATAGCCTCTGGTGAGGATTAAAAAAAAACACAATTTCCTTAGAAACTATAGTCTAGCTGTTACAGGATATTCTGAGGTAGGCTAACAAAGGGAGAACAAAAAAGGATGAAAATAGAATATAATCCATCTGTTTAATCCTATAGAAGAAAAAAAGGTCACTTGTTTAATTACACAGAACAAGTGCCACACACACCAAATGTGTGCTCCATTTTCAAATTCTGATAGAAATGAAAAATAAGAGCCACAAAAACACAAGGAAGAATCTTAAATGCATATTTCTAAGTGTAGCACTCTGGTGGGGGTTGTCGATGATAGGGAGGTCGTGCATATGTGGGAGCAGAGGATATATGGGAAATCTTTACCTTCTGCTCAATTTTGCAGTGAACCTAAAATGTTCAAGAACTGAGCAATGTTTAAAGAGATTGTTCTAGAACTAGAGATGTGTATTACATTTTCAAACATCAATATGTCCATCCAAACATCAACATATTCATTTTCCATATTCCTGTTCTTAAAGCTTGACTCCTGTCTTAATGACTCTAATGTCAAAGTGAAAGATTTCTTCTGAAAGGATGACTATGTCCCCCTCCCCATCCCCACTATGTGAATTTTGGTCACTTTTGCTCTCTGGACCTAGATTTTTATCTTGTTGGTTCCTATCCTTTTTATGTTTCTGGAGATTTTTTAAAGCAGAGGATCAATTATTTTAAATTTCCCCTTATTTCAGAACATTTACCCTTATCTAACAGAATTATCAAATCAATAGTAGTAACAGACCATTCCGGGTTGTGAAATCTTAGAATGATGCCCTTGAAAACATTTCAAACTAATTCAAATTTGTTTTTAAGAGAGACCTGTTCCTGTCTACTCTTCTTTGTATCATATCTGGGAAGATACTTCTGCTCCATGCCCGAAGGAGGAGGTGAGTTAAAAGAGAATACTTGTGTTCCCTTCCACTCTTCACTTTTTCATGCAGAGAATAAGGTCTGTTAACTGTATTTACCACTTAGTAAAAGAGAGTGTGATGAAATATGAAACTAATTCTGTATTTAAAAAAATAAGTATACATCATACATTACATTGATAATAAAAGAAATAAATTAAAATTGAGTACTTTAAAAATTAAATACTTACTGTGTAATTGAATTTTGAACACTCTTTTCATTTAAAGTCATCCCAGGAGGTGGGTCATTTTGCAAAGCCAGCAGTTCTTTCTGCAGTCGTTTCTAGAAAAAAATATCAGTAATAATTTGTACTTTTTTTTTTGTTATAATATCCTTCTAATTATAAAGTCTGAAAACCTTGATTAAATTTCCTCCAAATGCTCAGACCTTTTCCTATATAAACACCTTATATCTTCTATATATCCTATATAAGCCTAATAACATTAAAATTTTCAATTGCCTGTCCTTTAATCCACAACTCAAGAATTAGAACTTTTCCTAAGATCTTACAATATCATAATTTCAAGTAACAATGAAAGTAAGGTAGCAGCCCTGGCCGGTTTGGCTTAGCAGTTAGAGCATCAGCCCTTGGACCAAAGGGTTGAGGGTTTGATTCCCAGTCAAGGTCATGTGCCTGGGTTGTGGGTTCAATCCCCAGTCCTGGTCAGGGTCATGCAGGAAACAACCAATCCATGTCTCTCCCTCCCTCCTTTCCACTCTACCTAAAAAAAAGAAAAAAATCAATGGAGCCCGGCCAGTGTGGCTCAGTGGTTGAGCGCTGACCCATGCACCAAGAGAGTCTCTGGTTTGATCCCCAGTCGGGGCACATGCCCAAGTTGTGGGCAAAATCTCCAGTGGGGGGCATGCTGGAGGCAGCCAGTTGATGTTCTCTCTCATTGATGTTTCTCTCTCTCGCTCTTCCTTCCTCTCCCTCTAAAAATCAATAAAGGGGAAAAAAATAAATAAATCAATCAATGGAAAAATATCCTCGGGTGAGGATTAACCAAAAAAGGAAAATAAAGTATAAACTATTTGCAATCACCTCCCTGCCCTAATTCTGACCCCACCCTGCAAAAGGGTTTATTTATTTTAGTGAACATATCACATTATTTTGGTGAAACAAACCCCATCGCATCTTCAGTGCTGGCATTATATTAGCTAACGTTTAGTGCTTCATGTGCTCTTCTTTTTAAAATTTTTTTTCCTTTATTGATTTTAGAGAGAGGAAGGGAGAGAGAGAAATAGAAACATCGATGAGAGAGAACATCGACTGGCTGCCTCCTACATGTCCCCAACTGGGGATTTGGCCCACAACCTGGGCATGTGCCCTGACCGGGAATCGAACTGGCGACCTCTCAGGGCATGGGTCGATACTCAACCACTGAGCCATACCGGCCAGGTCTAAAATTTTTATTTATTGATTCGAGAGGGAGAGAAACATCAATTTGCTGTTCTCCTTATTTATGTATTCATTTGTTGATTCTGGTATGTGACCTAACCAGGGAGCAAACCTGCAACCTTGGTATATTGATGAAACTCTAACCATGACAATATATAAAGGGACTAACTGACAAGATTTCTGGACCTATAAAGCTTAAATTGTAGTAGGGGAAGAGATGGCTAATAGATAATAACAAAACAATAAAGTATATGATATATTAAAATGTGATGAGAAATGGAGCAACTTAAGAAGGAGTTAGGCCTTGCATCTTGTGAAGTTTTATCTCAGAGTGACAGTTTCAGACACCATTCTAAAAGACAGAAATCCTTGTTTAGTATAGGAAGAAATAGAAATGAGGAGGAAAAATATTAAAAATGTAGAGCTAGCCCTAGCCAGTTCGGCTCAGCAGTTAGAGCGCTGGCCCTCGGACCAAAGAGTTGCAGTTTGATTCTGGTCAAAGGCACACACCTCAGTTGCAGTCCAGTACCTGGTCCTGGTTGGAGTCGTGAGGGAGGCAACCAGTCGATGCATCTCTCTCACGTTGATATTTCTCTTTCTCACTAGTCAATGTGTCTCTCTCTCACATTGACTTCTCTCTCTCTCTCTTTCTCCCCTCCTTTCCTCCCTCCCACTCTATATGAAGATAAATGGGAAGAAAAATATCCTCGGGTGAGGATTAAGAAAAAAGTAAGAGTTATATCTATAACAATGGTTGCTAATGTAGCAGTACATACAATGGTCAACAATGTTTTCTCCAATTTCATCTAAAAATAAACAAAAAGTGAAAGGATAACAATAGAGGAGCATAAGAGGAAAAAAAAAATTGGTACACATTAACATCATGACAATCGCAACCACTACTTCCCCCCAATAATATTAAGAAACAAGTATAACAGTAGCCAGTTATTTCTGGGTGAGATGCTAAGCAATAAAATTTACTTTAAAATACTGATTCATGCATATTAAGAAAACATTTTCTTTCCAACTAAACTTCTAGAGACCTTAACTCCTAACAGGAACTTAGTGAAACTTTTTCCCGCTTAGGAAATTCAAAGCCTTCAATAAATGGAAGTACTGCCCTAGCCTATTTTGCTCAGTGGTTAGAGCTTTTGACTCCTGGTCAAAGGCACACACCTTGGTTGCAGGTTCAATTCTCGGCCCTGGTAGGGGTTGATGTTTGTTTCTCTTTCTCTCTCCCCCCCCTCTTCTACTCTATCTAAAAATCAATGGAAAAGTATCCTCAGGTAAGGATTAACAAAAAAATTAAATAAATAAGTAAATGGAGGTACTAATTCTTATTTTAAACTGACATCTTCAAAAATCAGATTGGGATGCAAAAAGTGACAAGACTAAATGATTCCTGTTTTCAAAGAGCCCATAGCTAAAATGAGAGACAAATGCATAAATTTGTTCTCCATGCTTTCAGGGTAGAGCAGCGTCCAAGAGAGTGGTCAACAAAGGAGAAAAACCAGAACTGTGGTCTACTGAAAGCCAAAGACTATGTTTCAAAGACTAAATAGAATTTCATTTTCAGCACAATGGAAACTCTAAATAATTCTATCAAAAACAAAGTGAATGCAGGAACTCTGACATTTTGCCCTGGGGGTTTCTACCAAACCAAAAGGGTGGGGGTGGGGGGGCAAAACCAAAAAGTGAGGTGGGGGGTCGGGATGGGGAGGATGTTGTCGGGGGGGGGGGGGGACATCTGTAACAAAAATAAATAAAAATTGCAGGGGAAAAACACACAAAAAGTGAGGAATCTAACACAAGACCTATATAAAACTGTGACCCCCTCAGTGTAAAGATGAACAAGGTAAAGGGTGCAGCAGACAGCAATAAAATATGACTGTTTTGAACTCAGCAATGGATAGAGTAAAAAAATTCTTCCATGAAATGTCATAACCTAAGCAGACATCTACAGGAGTTTGCAGTCTGAATTCCTGCTACCCGAGAACCTAGGTAGGATTTTAATAAAAAATGCTCCATTAAGTAACACCCCAAGCCACTGACAGAGCAAACAGAAATCCTGGAGAAATAGAAGTTAACCTTTTGAGGTAACAATTTCACTTTTCAGAATCTAGAAAGACACATAAAAAAATTATTAAGGACTGCCTGGCTGGTGTGGCTCAGTGGTTGAACATGAACCCATGCACCAAGAGGTCGCCAGTCTGATTCCTGGTCAGGGCACATGCCCAGGTTGTGGACTGAATCCCCAGTGGGGGGCAGGCGGGAGGCAGCCAATTGATGTTCTCTTTCACTGATGTTTCTATCTCTCTCTCCTTCTCCCTTCCTCTCTCTCTAAAATCAATAAAGAAAAATAAATAAATAAATAAGGACCAAATGAGAAATTATTCAGAAAACAAGAGCATGCAACACCTGATGTGATAAAAATCTATTTTCTCTACCTGGAAAACCATTAGATCCCCAATTAATTTATGTTCTTGTAGCATTTATATAACTGTGAGCAACTCTAAGGCAGAGATTATGCCTTACTATTTATCTTTGTATTCCTAGCATTCAAAACTATGCCTGGCATATATTGTTGTTTTTTGCCTCAGTAAATTATTTTAAAAAATTAATGAAGATGTTGACTGGTTCACTGTTTGTAAGAGAAAAACCCAGAAACAATATATGTGCCTATCAACACATAAGTTATATAAATTGCCCTGGCATTGGGCAAGGAGATACCTGGTTGGTGGTTTTGCTCTTATATCAATCAGGGGCAAAGCAGATGTAGTTATTAGTTCATCCTAGCTTGATGCCTATACTGGTGGCCAGAGCTATTTCATGCCTGAGGCACATTAAAAAAAAAAGTTATACAAATTATGACATATGAAAACAAGACTATTGCAACCATTAAGAATTATGCAGACCTGCCCTGGCCAGTTTGGCTCAGCGGTTAGAGCGTCAGCCTGCGGTCCGGAGAGACCCGGGTTCGGTTCCCGCTAAGGGCACGTACTTCGGTTGCAGTTTGTCCCCGGCCCTGGTTGGTCGTGCGGGTGGCAGCCACTCGATGTGTCCCTTCACATCGATGTTTCTCTCTCTCTCTCCCTCCCACTCTATCTGTACAAAAAATGGAAAAATATCCTCGGGTGAGGATAAAAAAATAAAAAAATTAAAAAAAAAGAATTATGCAGACCCGTGTTCACTAACAACAAAAGAACTGGCAAAACATTAAAATACAGAAAAAGCAAGCCTCAAAAACACATATCATCTCTTTATTTTAAAACAAAAGAGATTTATTTACACAAACGTTATATAATGCATACGAACAAGATCAGTAAGTGAGTTCAGAAAGAAGCACATCCAACTATTTTATAGTAGTTCCCTTCTAGCAGTGGAAATGGAAAAAGAAGACATCCTTATTTGCACCATATACTTTTATATTAGGACTCTTTTACAAGAAAGTAGAAAGGTATTTCTTGTACAATTAGAAAACAGATTTAAGGACCTAAACATATCCACATAAAAACATGGACACAAATGTTCATAGCAACATTATTCATAATAGCCAAAATGTAGAAGCAATACAAATATCCATTAACTGATGAATGGAGTAAATAAGATGTGTTGTATCTAGAAAATAGAATATTTGTCCATAAAAAGAATGAAGTACTAATACATAATGCAATGTGGATGAACCTCAAAAACATTATGCTAAGTGAAAGAAGTCAGTCACAAAAGACCATATATATGATGATACCAATTATGTGAAATGTCCAGAACAAACAAATCTATACATACAGAAAGTAGATTGGTATCTGCCATGGGCTGGGGGGAAACAAGTGGAATGAAGAAGAATGCATGCTTATCGGTACAAAGTTTCTTTTGGGAGTGATGAAAATATTCTAATATTAGATTATGGGGGTGGTTGCTCCCCTGATTGTATACTTTATATGGCTGAATTTTATGGCATTTAAATCACATCTAAATAAAACCTAAAAAAAAAACCAACCCTCAATGATAAACAGCAGATTAAACACAGGTAAAGAGAGAATTAGTACTTAGGAGGATGATCAGAAGAATTTATCCAGAATGTAACAGAGAAACAGAGATGAAAATATGACACAAAGGAAACAAAAAAGAGAATGGGAAGTAACATTTAAAGAGATAATGCCTGTCCGGCTGGTGTGGCTCAGTGGCTGAGCATCAACCCATGCACCAAAAAGATGCCAGTTTGATTCCCAGTCAGGGCACATGCCTAGGTTGTGGGCCTGATCCCCAGTGCAGGGCATGCAGGAGGCGATCAATCGATGTTCTCTCTCATCGTTGTTTCTATTCCTCTTTCCCTCTCCCTCTAAAAATTAATAAAGAAAAAAAATTTTTTAAATAAATGCCTGAGAATTTTCCAGAATTGTTGAAGACATCAACCCTCAATTCGAAGGCCCAATGAATTCTAAAAAAAATTAAAAAGAATTCCAAACTCACACATCATACACATCAGTGTGAAAGCACAGAACACCAACTAAAATAGAGCTAATTCTAAAACCAGAGAGAAAACATAGATTACTTACAAAGATGTAAAAATCTGAGTGATGGTTATCGTTTTTTAAAAAACATTTCAATTATAGTTGACATACAATATATTAGTTTCAGGTGTACAACATAGTAGATATTTATATAACTTATAATCACCTTGGTTTGTATAATACCCATCTGACACCATACAGAGTTGTTAAAATATTACTGACCATATTCCCTATGCTGTACTGAACATCCCCATGACTGTTCTGTTACCTGTAATTTGTATATCCTAATACCTTCACCCTTTTTACTCAATCCCCCTCCCATTTGGCAATCATCATTTTGTCTTCTGTGTTGATGAGTTTGTTTTGTTTGTTCGTTTATTTATTTTAGATTCCTAAAATCAATAAAAATAAAATTTTAGATTCCATATATAAATGAAATATGGTATTTGTCTTTCTCTGTCTGACTTATGTCACTTAGCATAATACACTCTAGGTCCATTCATGTTGTCGCAAACAGCAAGATTTCATTCTTTTTTTTTTTTAGATGTCTGAGTAATGATCCATTGAATACATGTACCATATGTTCTTTATTTAAAAGCTGTAACTATGTTTAAGGGTAAAAAGGCTATCAGAATCCAGTCTGCATTGCATAGACATCAACAGATATTCTGTCCTCTGCAATATCTGAAAAAACAAATCACAAAATCCCTATACCAAAACACCCCTAACCCCACACAACCTCATATTTCCTCTTTCCACAAACATACAGACAGACCTATTCCCAGACACGTCCTAAGAATAAACATTTGGAAAAGGAACACAACACCAGGAATGAGAAGTATCCTGAGACACAACATTTTTGTGTTTAGGGAAAAAACAATCACATCAATTTTTTTATCAATAAAGCAAGATCTGTCCAGCCGGTGTGGCTCAGTGGATTGAGCATTGTCCCATAGACTGAGAGGTCTCAGTTCAATTCCCAGTCAGGGTACATGCCTAGGTTGTGGGCTCAACTCCCAGTAGGGGGCATACAGGAGGCAGCTTATCGATGTTTCTCTCTTATTTCGATGTTTCTATCTCTCTCTGTAAAAAAAAAGAAAAAGAAAAATCAGCCCTGGCCAGTTTGGCTCAGTGGTTGAGCGTCGGCCTGCAGACCAGAGTCCTGGGTTCGGTTTCCGCTAGGGGCACGTACTACCAAAAAATATATATATATAAAAAATTAAAATAATAAAATAAAGCAAGATCTAAGATTATTTGCTGTTAAGGTTTTAAGAGTTGTGAACTAGAAGATTTAGAGAGGAAAAAAAAAATCTACCATGAGAAAAAAATAGAATTTCACTGAGGCATCTACAAAGTGAAAGAATCACCAAATATTAATCTAGTTGAAAGACATGCACACAATTAACAGATATTTTACAGTGATTTAAAAATATTATATACTTTTTCCTATTTAACAAAATTGTTTAGTTTCTTTAATTGGGCCAGGGAAGAAGATGAAGTGAAAGGAATAAAAGATAGGGCAAGAAAGCAATGTTTGTATATTGCTTATGACCTATTTTGGAGGGGAAAAAAAAGTATTTACTTGAGCCTCTATTTACTTAGTCAGAAAACAGCTGAGTACTTACCACCAGTAGAGCATTGCCCTCAGTGAGTTAAAATTCAAATAAAGAAAGCCCTAGCCAGTGTAGCTCAGTTGGTCAGGTGCCATTCCATGCATAGCAAGGTTGCTGGTTCAATTCCTGGTCAGGGCACATGTCCAGGTTGCAGGCTTAATCCCCAGTAGGGGGTGTGTATGAGGAAGCAGATTGATGTTCCCCCCCCCCCCCCCTTCTGCTCTCTCTAAAAATTAATTTGGTTTTAGAGAAAGGGAAAGGGAGAGAGAGAAACAACGATGAGCGAGAATATCGAATGACTGCCTCCTGCATGCCCTCCACTGGGTATTGGGCCAACAACCTGGGCATGTGCCCTGACTGGGAATCAAACTGGCAACCTCTTGGTGCATGGGTCAACACTTAACCACTAAGCCACACTGCCCGGGCTAAAGATTAATTTTAAAAAATCTAATAAATATAAAGTACCTCTAATATTGAGTGTAAGGCAAAAATTAAAAATACCATGAAAGCAGTAAAATGCACTATGAGAGCACACAAGGTAAGAGAATGTGTACTGAGGCTAAGTCTGGTGGGTTCACGATGTCAGGTATAAAGCTGTAAAGAACTAAAGTAGATTTTGAATAAAATATGAATTTAGAAAAACAGTACGAAGAGTGGAAGGGCTAACTAAATAACCTGCTAGACAAATTACCCCCCCCTCCCCTGGGAACAATGAAAAGACAAGAAGGGGAGCTACTGAACTAGCCAGAATCAAAATGGAATTTCAATATAAAAAGTGACTGATGGGGGGGGGGGGGCAGGGAGGAAGCTACGTGGATGGCGGCGGGGGTGGGTGGGGGACATCTGTAATACTTTCAGTGATAAAGATATGTAAAAATGTATATTTAAAAAAGTGAGTAAAAAGTGTGCTTCTTAGTATCCCTAGCAAGTAAAGGAGAATAACAATGTACACATTGCAGTAATATCCACTTCAACCTAGGGATAAGGGAAGACAGACCTCCAGGACAGAGAATAAAAACAACCTATCTCTCAGGGATTTTAATGGACTGAAAAAAAGAGTTCAGCATAGGCTTTAGAAAAGGGATGCAAGGGCTAGCAACAATGGCTGAATAAAGGACCAACAGACTTAAAAGGACTATTCACATTTTAATACAGGGCTCCTAAGGTTATTTAAAACAATAAAAATTTGAGGTGGTAATTATTCAACTCCAAAGATTCATGATATAAAAGTTCTAAGTTTGTATAGGTACACAACTGGTATAGAAGAATCACTTTACAACTGAGTCTAGAGGACCACCCAGCAGCCATATCTTAAAGACTTGGTTCAATAATCCTCCTCCACAAGGAACTTCCATGGCAGATACTTTGTTTCTTTGAATAAAATAGCTACTAAACAAGATTTTACTAAAATTTTAAGGCAGTCAACATTAGTTCAGGAAATGAATGTTTTTTTGATAGAAATGGGATTATGTAGACAACCAGAAACATATATGAACATTTTTCAGTCTCAAATTTGATTCTTAAAAATCTCTCCAATGTATCAACTTTCACATGTCTACCATCTCCTGAACTTTAAATCTGGTTCAGGTGTAGTACATATCATCCAATTTACAAAATTTGCACACTTAAATCCTCCCATTTTAGTGAAGATGAGCTCTAAACTTAGGTTGCACATCAACTGAGAAAAATTCCAATACCCAAGATGCACACCAGACCAAATAA